ATATATATTATACTGTCTTTATTTGTTTTTGTTCATTTTTATTAAGAAATTTGTTTTTAAGTATTTAATTAATATTCTTATTGAGCAAAGACACACTTTCAAAAGGTAAAGTGTGGAACTTCAGTGAAACAAGCAATTAAATAATTGCACATCTAACAGGTACTAAAGTGACTGATCTGTTTCAAGTATAAAGATACCTTAAACAGTATATCGTGATGAAATGATCAATAGATAAGGTTTAAAGAGTGCTGTTTGGCTTTTTTGCAGAGAGCAGTACATCTTCATCTTCAAGACCAAAAACACATTTGCAGTCACAATGATTTCTCTATGTAGCTCTTCAATGAAAGAAACATCAATCATTCCTTGAATAGGTGGTTTCAAGATGTGGTTTTCAATATTTGAGTTGTATTAAGAAAGTAAAGGTAGCGCACAAAATGAGAAAGAAATAAAAGAGGTTTGGAATAAGAAAAAATTAAAATGGCATTTGCGACAGACCCACAAGAGTTCCTATTCCTCTAAAAAAAATCTCTCTCATTTCATTGTCGCAATCTTAAACCGTGAAATGCTCCTTATCTTTGGCTCTTTATTCCTTTTCATCTTTCTTGATACACACTTTTCTGTCTGCCTCTCTCGCCCTGAACGAGTCCAAGTGTTTCGCAACGTCTCTAACAAACTTCCCTTCACTCCCAGTCCACTTAAAGCCGCAGTTGAAGCAGAGCAGCTCTGTGAAGGAGATTCTCATACAACTCCAACGCAAAGCCAATTACATGTCATTATTCAATGCAAAGGGCATATGGTAGTGTTTGAGCTTATCAGAATGACTGTAAGAGAACAGAAGGAGGAAACAAGAAGAAAGGTGCCAGGGACAGAAAGAGGGAGTTAGAGCGAGGAGGAGGGGGAGGAAGTCATTAATGACACAGTTGAACATCGCAGCCTCCAGCTTTGCTCTCTAATTACATTTGGCTCTTTGTAACATTCTGGAATTACGTGCTGCATTTCCAGCGTCCAAGTAGCTTTTAGAGAGCCCACGGACTAACACTCAGCTTTATCTCATTCTCATTTATTCTCATTCTCTTTCTCTATCTCCCTTTTATTTTGTGCCATCCACACTCGCCTGCCAACCCCTAGAACAATCGCTAAACCAGTGTCAAGCTTCCACAAATTGCTGCATGTTTTGTGGAGCAGGGTAACAGGGTGGGTTGAAATCTCAGCCCGGAGCACTATGGATAATGGGCATTAGTATGCCTAAAGACTTGGAATATCCCATACATAGGGATAAGAGGAAAAGAAAACAACACTGACTAATAGAGTGTGAGTCAAACTCAAGTGGATTCTTACTACCAAGAGCATAAAATGATGGTTACTTAATGGTTACATTTGCAACACTTAAGTCATTTGGAGGACAAGATCATTGAAAGAAAGAAAGAAAGAAAGAAAGAAACGATGTAGTCAAAAACGGAAAAGTTTTTCCCTTGCGTTTTTAATAAGATTCACGTATACACGACAACGTTTTCAAACCGATTCGCGTTTACACATATCCGTGAAAACGGCCAAAAACGCTGTATTATGTATGCCAGGCCAGTAGTTGGTGCTGTCACCTTGTTAGTAAACAGTACCTGTTGCCGTGTGTATATGAAGAGTCTCCGCTGTTGGTTGTAATATTGGTGAAGTAAAGCCACACTTTGCTGAAGAAGCGTTAACAAACTCTTAAACAGCAACAACAGTACCATATACTCCACCATTGTTGTGTATGTTTGTTCGCGCTTGCCTTTAAAATCGACATGTACTGCGCATGTCTACATACCTAACACGTACTACGCACACGCATGATGTCACCGTTTTCAAATATTCCCGTTTTGGGTGTTTACACGGAAACAACAACAGTGGCGTTTTCAAACCCGTTTTCAAAAATATGCGTTTTCAGTCCCTAAAACGCAGACGTCGTGTAAACGAACAGGCAAAACGCATAAAAAGTTTTTATGCCGTTTTTGGCTGAAAACGTTGTTGTGTAAACGGCCCCTTACATTGCAAGAAAATTCAAAGACATTTATTTCACTGGGAAAATTTTATATTTGATTATTATTTTTTATTTGTTTCTCCTTTATGTAACTTTCACCAATAATTATATTTTGTATGCAAACCCAAGCTTTACTTAAACTTAGTCAAACTCTAAAGTACACAGAAATATGCAGACACATTCAACACAACTAAAAGCTCATGAAAAATACATTAAACTTCCAAGATCCAAACAGCTGGCTTATAAAATAAAGCTATTTTACATTAGAGGGGGAAAAAAATCCTTTTCTCCTTATTTACATTTTAACACAAATATCTTACACACACTTCTAATGGGGATAAAACTCTTTAAACTGTATCACAAATTTTATTTAATCCACCAGAAGTAGAAAGAAGTGTTTGACTTCTGTAAATCAGAAGACTTTCAGTCTTATTTCTCTTCAACATCAGACATCAGTGACAGAAAAGTGTCATCTTGCACCTCTTGCATTAAACAACAGTGTAACTGAACAGCTTTCTTTAGGAGGAACTAGAACTGTGTGTGTGTTAACACTGATTGCAAAGCATGTATGGAGGGCAATAGAAAATAAAAATTAAAGCGAGAAAGCTCTTATACCAGATACCCTTCAGATACATACTCGCAATATTGACAATCACAGCTATGCACTGCAACAACAGTCAGTTATCTACAATTACATTTTGCACTATGACAGTTATTTCGTGTATACTGTGCAGTATACTATAATAATGACTGTTTTATTTTAAGAGTTTATTTCAAAGGATGAGTCTTCACTTCCCTTTTAAGCCTTAAGTACATATTATAGTCTGCCTTCTGAGTGGCATGTCAACCTAAGGCTACAATGTAAACGATGATGGGTTAAAAACGACCATTGTTGGGTTATTTGGCAACCCAGTGATGGGTAAATATTGGACAGAACACATGCTGGGTTATTCTGGTTTTATACATTAACTCATTTGCTGGGTTGTTTCTAATATTTAAGGTTAATCATTGTAAATAATAATAATAATGCACTATATAGGACAAGGGAAATTAATATAAAAATTTGTTTATATTTTTATACAATGTAAAGTCTTAGACAATCATAAATTGTTCTAGGGAGTAAGAGGAGAAGAATCTGTGGGAAGAACATTGGTATCAGTAGGCTATATGTCAGTTCCAGTTCATTAAATTACAATATTATACTAATAATATGTTTTCAAAGTTCAAAAATAGCTTTGCCTTGTGACATCTCAACTGTCCACAGGTTTCAGCACATCAAACGAATTACACGACCATGGGCCCTGGTTGTGCCATTTGTCAGGCAGGCAGTTAAATCGTTAATATGGTGGTGTGTTGTTCGCTTTGAGTGTAGATCTTGTGTATGCTGGGTTTGAGTTTGTGGAAGGCTATAATTCCAAGCACACTTAAGATACAATCTTGGTCTGTTTCTACTGTTATTATTTTATAGGAAAACATGTATTATGTAGCTTAATTTCATTTTAGAAGATTCCCCTCAGGAAGTTTTTTTCTCAGTACAGTACACAAAATGACCTTTGATGAATGTATCCAGTTTTAACCGGTTTGGCACAGACTATGTAACATTGGGTTACACTGACCCAGCACTTTGTATTGCCAGTAAAACAGACCCAGCCGCTAAGTTACAGAAAAACTACCCAGCACCTAAGTAAAAAATAATGTAAAATTAATAAAAAATAACCTAATAAAATGACCCAAAAGGAACAACCCAGCATTTGGGTTAAAAATAACCAAGCATTTTTTTTTAGAGTGCCGATACTACAATATGTGTGCTAACATCCAGAATGATTTGTCATAGCTTTCATTAGTGTGCTGTGTTTTAACACAAGTTTCAGATCTATTTTTGGTTAGTGGTTGCTTTGTAGCATCAGTACAAACATTTGATCTTCTGTGAAGTGAACTGGTGGTAAGTCGATAACCCCAGCAGATTTCACAAGTGGAGATTGGATTTGTGTTTTTCCAACATACACATCAAAAAATAGGAGCAATTTGATCTTGTGGTCTTTGGCCCATGCAGTGATGAAAACACAGGTGGGTCAGGCTGACATTTCGGCTATTACATCAATCCCTCTAAGCAACAGCAATGAGGTCACCCTTCTGTAATACTGGGCTGCCCAAACACAAAAGTTAAAGGCACAAAGGAGCCTGGAGCTAAAACGATCCTGAGGAGCTGTCAGAGTCAGGACAGATTCAGAACAGGGATTTAGATGAAGTTGCTCACACATAAACACGCATATACAAACACGTAATTTTTTTTTTAAAGCAACACGCAACATTGATGAAAATAAGTATTTGTTTTTAAAATATATTAACAGAGAAAACTGTCTATATTAATACAGTATACAGTAGTCTATATCAAATCACCAATACAATCCTAAATACCTAAAAATGCATTTTTCAAGTTGGTCCAGCTAATGCCCATGTGTATGTTCTAGAGAAAAAAAGAATAAATCATGTTTCGCCAATAATTGGCTCTTATAATTGAAAAATACAAAGTTCTACCAACCAGCTGCCATACTACAGTAAGCCAGAGCATGTGAGCGAAGCGGAGCGGTGTGACGCTCCGCTACGTTTTCCGCTCTATGGACGTGCGCTCCGCTCAGTCGCTCTAACCGCCCAAGCAAGCGCTCCGTTAATATTCCGCTCACGCTCGCCGTAAACCAATTCCCGCTCAGATCCCGCTCCGTTCTGTAAAGAACAAATTTGCGTGCATTATATTAGATTATAAATTACTGCTGCCTACATCTAGCCTACATTCTGTAGGTCTACCTATTGGTTCGGGTCAGTTTTTTTTTAAAATAATATTTTAATAGGCCTAAGTGGTGTAGGCTAATATCTTCTGTACTCTGTAGTTCTGTATTTAGGCCTATATACAGCTGTGTGGTAGCTTAGGTCTACAAAGTACAGAAGATATTAGCCTACACCACTTAGGCCTATTAAAATATTATTTAAAAAAAAAACTGACCCGAACC